AATGCATATTCAGTTTGTTTCTGCCTTCTGGTTACTGTGAATAGTACTGCTTGGAACATGCATGTACAGGTTTTTGTTTGAACACCTGTCTTCACTTTTCTTTTAAAGATTTATTTATTTATTTATTCATGTGAGACAGACACAGAAAGAGAGAGTCAGAAACACAGGCAGAGGGAGAAGCAGGTTCCCCGCAGAAAAGTCGGATGCAGGACTCATCCAGGGATCTGGAATCATGCCCTGAGCCCAAGGCAGACACACAACACTAAGCCACCCAAGCGTCCCAATTTCTTTTGGGCTTATGTACCCAGGAAGGGAATTGCTAGGTCATGTATAACTTACGGAGGGACCACCAAACTGGGTTCCATGGTGGCTGCACAGTTTTACCCCCTCACCGGCAACATGTAATGGCTGTCCTACTGACTTTGAAATGTGGCTTAATAAAACCCTTTCTCCTCCATGGAGAAATGACCTCAGGTCAGGTTTCTATTTCTCAGGAAACCTGAGACAATTCAGCTGCATTACCAGTCATCAGTGACCCGTGAATGGTCCACCACACCTGACTAGGACAATTGAGAACACGCCATAGATATCAGTGGGAAGCCAAGGCATTGGGGCTTTCTGGAGTGCTCTGCATTCCTGGGATTGGGCACATACCTTGTCACAACCCTGGAAGCATTGCCCGTAACACTGTATCAGGCAGTTATCAGGTCCTTTTTTTAGGAGGTGGGGTTTTTAAGCCAGGTGGCTTATGCATCCAACGGTGTGATGCCATTCCCTCCCCCCTTAGCAGTCATCACTTTGAGGAGTGATATGGACAGAAGACACAGGCCTGCCAGGCACAGCTTATTTGGCTGTTATGTGTCTACCTGAGCCCAAGGCATAGCACACAGGCATGGTAAGCCTGCTATGAAGTCCCTAGAGCTACAAATTTGAATCCTGGCTCTGGTACTATTGTGCAACCCTAGCCAGGGTGTTATAATACCCTGGCCTTGGCTAAGCCATCTGGAAGATGGGGATAATCACAGCCCCTCCCTACTTCACAGGGCTCTGGCAAGGATTAAGTGCATCAGTGCACACAATAAACTCAGAGCAGCACCATGTAGGACTTCCTCTTAATCTTACTGCACCTAGCCTTCCATGTCTGCTCCATGTTTCTCCCCTTGATCCTGTCTTCTCTAAATCCTGGAAAAATCCAAGACACACTTTCCACTTTTTCCTTCTACAATTGCTCTCTTCTTAGCATCCCAAAGCCACATTCTCCCAATTTTCCTCTTACCCTGCCAATTGGTTCTCTCATTTTTCTTTGAAGGAAAATGGTGAGTCAGAAGTTTCAAATCCAAATACCCCCAGAGAGGGTGCCTGGGTGGCTCAGTCAGTTAAGCGTCTGCCTTCAGCTCAGGTCATGATCTCAGGGTTCTGGGATGGAGCCTGGAGTCAGGCTCCCTGCTCAGCAGGCAGGGGGTCTGCTTCTGCCTCTTCCACTGCCCCTCCCTGTGGCTTGTGTTCTCTCACTCTCTCTCAAATAAATAAAATCTAAAAAAAACCAAAAAACAAAAAAACAATCCCCAGAGAAAGACACATTTTTGAAACAGTTGGGGATGTGTGAATCTGAGTTGGGCATTGGAGGATATTAAGAATGACCACTAATGTGAACAGTGAGAAATAGCTAGGAAGGGGTGCTCTGGGTGGCTTAGTCAGTTAAGCATCCAAATCTTGATTTCAGCTTAAAGTTGCGAGATTGAGCCCCTCATTAGGCTCTGTGCTGGGTGTGCAGCCTGCTTAAGACTCTGTTACTCCCCTGCTTGAATGCTTGCTCTCTGGTGCATGTTCTCTCTCTCTCAAAAGAAAAAAAAAAGGCTAGATAGTTATGTCATGAAATGAGTCCTCATGTGTTACAAATGGGGATTCAAATATTTCTGGGAAACTAACATGACATCTGGGATTTAAATCATTCCAGAAAAAAACAAAAGACAACACTGGATCAAATGTTGGTGATTCCCGAAGCTGAGTGACAGGTAAGAAGTAGTTCATAGTATTAAGTACCCTGTGGAAGTTTGTAAACTTTACCTGCCCCCTGCCAAAGAAAAACAAAACCCTAAAACAATGTCCACAGAGTCCTGGCACGTCATGATAGTGTGAGAAGAGGGGCTGGTGGAAACTGGGAACACATGATTTGTCTAAAAAGATAGTCACTATTGAATCCAGATGATTTTTGTCAGGGAATGTGAGCCAAACATTGCCAAATTTTGGGATTTTATTTTCAAAAGAAGCTGGAATCTGGATGTTTGCAGGGGCTTGACCACTAATTCACATTTAAAAAAATAAAGTGCAGGCCAAAGAAAACAGTTTGTTGGTTGGCTCTGGCCCACACACTCTAAGTCTGAGACCTTTTCTTGGGAGGTGGTGTGGGAACTGTGGGCTGTGGAATCCCAGGGCTCAGGTTCCAATCTCAGCTTCATCCCTTTTAAACTGTTGAGTGTGGGCACATTACTTATCCTTCTAGGCCTCTGTGTGCTAACACTAAAATAATAACACTAATCCCCTCTCATAGCTGTTCTGGGTATTAAATGAGATCACACTGTGCACAGAAGCTGGCACAGAGAGGGCACCCAGGAAATATAAACTACGATCACATTATCCCTATTTCAGTATATTCCATCTCTAGCCAACCTCCAAGTGTGAGAATTGTCTGTTCTCTATCCCAGATCCTCACTCTCACTGTTCAGCTATCTTTCTACACTGGAGACTCCCAGGTCCCTGTCTCCAGAGGTGAAGACATAAGCCCAAGTAGCATGTGACTCCTGCCTGAGGCTGTCCCCGGGTCCCTCACACTCTCACCTTGCGCTAATAAAGCTCAAGGCCCTTCCTTGGAACCATTGCCCTCCTGGGTTCACTACTGGTGGTAATGGCGGTGGGGAAGGGGGGACAGAGACAGCCAGACCCCAAACATTGCTTTGCCCTCTCCACCCCCCACACGGCTTCTCCTCTATCTCTGCCTGAGGTGCTCCTATCCATCACAGTCCGCTCCAGGCTCTGGCCTCATCTTCCACTTGGACCCTTGTTCCAGCCTCCTCTTCTCTCCTTGAAGAAAATCCTAAGCGGGGCACCTAGGTTGCTCAGTGGTTGAGCGTCTGCTTCGGCTCAGATCGTGATCCCAGAGTGCTGGAATCAAGTCCAGGCTCCTGATGGGTGGGTGGGGGCCCTGTTTCTCCCTCTGCCTGTGTCTCTCATGAATAAATAAATAAAAATCTTTTTTTTTTAAATAAGGTGTTTTTTTTTTTTTTTATGATAGAGGAAGAGAGAGAGAGAGAGAAGCAGAGACACAGGCAGAGGGAGAAGCAGGCTCCATGCACCGGGAGCCCGACGTGGGATTCGATCCCGGGTCTCCAGGATCGCGCCCTGGGCCAAAGGCAGGCGCTAAACCGCCACCCAGGGATCCCCTAAATAAATAAAAATCTTAAAAAAAGAGAGAGAGAGAGAAGCCTAAGCTGCTCATTCCGGAGTGCTAGAAGACCCCGGGGGGGGGGGGTTCAGGAGAGCCCCTTGGGGGTTGGGGTGGATTCTGAAGGGCCTCGGTAATTACAGAATGCGAAGCACCCTACTCATCCACAGGAACTACAGAGGTTCTGGGGGACCCCAGGCATCACAGGAGCCTCACGAGGACTTGAAGAGGCCCTGGAGGATCATGGGAGCCCCAGAGCCCCACGGGGATATTCGGAGGGGCTGCGGGTGATGACGGTAAGTTGTGAGGTATCCTGGGGCTCCTAAGATCCTAAGAGCCCCGCAAGTATTGATGAGGGCCCCGATGAATCACGGGGGCCCCCACGGGAGTTCGGCGGGGTGGGGCGCAGGAGCCACAGGAAGTTCCGAGGGATCACAGGAAATCTACGGCGATTCCCAAGGTCCCTGGAAAGAGCGGGGGTGCCCCACAGGAATTCCGAGTCCTGGAGGATCACGGGAGGTTCTTGCGGGGGCCCTGAAGAATCACAGGAGCCCCTCCCGGGGCTCTGAGGAATGGGGGAAACACCGCCCTGAGGTCGGCGCAGGGGGTTCGAGGGTTACCCCGAAACAAGGGTGAAGAGGAGGGCAGCCGCAAAGGATCAAGGGAACGCCCTTCAAGGGTGGGTCCTAAGCGGTGGCCGGAGTCACAGGAGCCGAGAGGGGCGGAGCTGCTGGGCTGCCGCGGTGGATCACGGGAGTCCGCGCGCAAAACAAGACCCAAGAAGCCTGCGGAGGGGGGATGGGCAGCGCCGAACGGCAAGCCCTCACCAGTGCGCATGCGTGGCTCTCAGGCACGGGTCCGTACTCCAGCGTGGCGAAGATCTCTCGGGCGCTGGGCCTTGCACGCGTCGCAGCCATCACCCGGGCGGGCCGCTTTCCACCAAGGAGTGCGGGGCGCTCTGCCCAGAGGAACTTTGAGGTCGAAGGGCGGCACCGCCCCCTCCAGCCCAGAGGGCGGGGCTACAGGAGATAGAGTGTAAGCCCGCCTTGGGTCCGGTGACCCCGCCCATGCGCCCGAGCTGGGAAATGTGGTTTGGAGCATGCGCAGTCCTCAAACCGAGGCGGGGCGGGGAGCGGGGACGGGACGGAAATGTGGGTCCCTTGCAAATAGGAAGGCGCCAGATTTAGAAGGGCGGCCGTACTGGTGTGTCTTCTCTTCACTCTGTTCATATTGAGGGCAGGAATTTAAGCTTTTCGTCCGAAGTACCTTTGCTAGAGAATCTAGTTGAGCTCTGGGACGAAGCGATAGTTCAGAAATCAGAAGGGAGTCTTTAGGATGGACACTGATATTAAGGTTTTAAAAGTGTGCCAACCTGAACTGCTCAGTAGCTTGGCAAGATGCGTGGAGAAGAGAAGTATGAAAAAAAAAAAAGAGAAGTATGGCTTTAATCGACACAGGAAGTGTGGCATTCAGATTTAGGTTCAGAATTTCGTTTTGATTGGTTGAAGTGAGGGGCGTGCCTTCAGCCTTAGACTGTGATTGGTCGGGACGTTATGAAGTTGTAGGATTGATGTCTGAGCCTTCGCCGTAGACGGAAGCGTGGTTTGCCCAAGGCCTTGGTTACAGACTGGAAGTTTGGCTGTCATGTCACTTACAAGTTTAGCACATAGGACTTAGAGAGCATCTGAAACTATTGACTCCCAACAGATTGACAACCGTATCTGGGCTGAGTGGAATCATAGTCTCAGGCCGGATTCTTAGATTTTCATACAGAATAGTGGGTGTCACGGGAGTTGGTTGTGGGCCTGGCCGCAGGCCACAGTTTGATCCCGGCGAGGCTTTCCGCGCCACGTCGGGGTTGCTGAGGACGCCTAGGTCTCTTCCTGTAGGGCCATGGCGGACTCGAAGCTGCTGGTGCCGGAGCTGAGGGAGGCAGAGAAGATGGGTGCTGAGACCGCGCGTTTTGAGGAGCTGCTCCTGCAGGTGCGGAGTGATGGGCTCCTGGGTCTCTGAGTGTTCAGGGGATGTGTGTGTGTGTGTGTGTGTGTGTATGCACATGCATGCCTGCGGGTGCTCAGAGATGGAACTTCATGCCCAGAACGCACTTACTTGGGGTTGTGGATTTGCTCAATTTGGGATTGTGGATGCTCAACTTACTTGGGATTGTGGGTTTGCTAGGCTCTGGAAGAAATGCAAGTGGGCCTAGGGTTGTTCTCAGGGGTCCCCAAAGGAGGAGAGGGACATGGTATGTTTTATTCTTCACACATCTTATATGCATAAAATTTTCTCTTAAAACTTTGAAGAACAAATGAGGGTCTGATAGCACAGACGCCATGCCTGAAGGTTGTTTACCTTTACACAGGCCTCCAAGGAGCTCCAGCAAGTCCAGACAAGCAGACCAGAATCTACACAGATCCAACCTCAACCTGGTGAGAAAGGCAGAAACCCAGAGAGAGAGAGGGATGGAGTCTCAGAGAGAGGTGGACAAAGACTGGGGGCAGGGGACACAGAGGAGGCAAGAGAGAGGCACAGTAATGGGGTACAGAGGCCTTGGCAAGGGCTTGGGACAGAAATCCAGAGAGAGCAGGGAAGGGACCAAGATCTGAAAGAGAGGAAGAGGAGCAGGACAGGCATGACTAGGAGGACAGAAACACAAAGAGAGAGAGAGAGAGATCCCAGGGGTGGGGTAGGGAGCCGACCCAGAAAGCAGAGAACAGATCAAGAGAAGAATGGAGACTGAGGAGGGAAAGGCTGGAAATCGAGATGCATGCAGACACTCAGGACAAACCCATTTCTAACAGGTTTCTGCATAAAGACCAACTCTTCCGAAGGGAAGGTTTTCATCAACATCTGTCACTCTCCTTCCATCCCTCCTCCGGCTGACATGACTGAGGATGAGCTGCTTCAAATGCTGGAAGAAGACCAAGCTGGGTTTCGCATCCCCATGAGCCTGGGAGAGCCTCATGCCGAACTGGATGCAAGTCAGTGCCCTTGAAGGACCTAGGGATCTAGTTCCCTAGATCCTTTCTTCCCGAGGATCCAAGATCCAGGACTCTCCTTCCTCAGGACTCAGAAATCTGGCCCTCCTGTCCTTATCCTTTTCCCTTGACATATACTTAGCCTCCTGGGCTTCCAGTACCTTCTGTGTGGGGCAGTCCTGGTTCTGCCCACCTGCCCAAGCTGGCACTTCTCCCCTGCCCTACCCCATGGTAAGGGAGAGCTGGGCAGGTGTTGGACCAGCTCTCAATCTTGCTCCTTCACCTTTCTTCCCATCTCTATTTCTATGCCTTGACTCACCTGTCTCGCTTGAGTTTGTCTCAGTAGCTCGTTTTTTCAACTCACATATGTCCTCTGAAGCCTCATGGGTCCAGCTTTGGGTAGTGCCCTTGAGACACTCCTCGTCTTAGTTGAGGGTGGAGGAAACAGATGCAATTGCAAGACGGTGTGATTTCTGCTGGTCTGGAGGGGGCGCTTCACCCCATACCGTGGGGGGTCAGGGAAGGCTTCCTGGAGGAAGAGGCATCAGAAGATTTGAAGGCACAGGAGGAGTTCATCAGGCCAAGACAAAGAAGAGGTTTCTAGGCAGAGGGGATAGAGAAGTCCAGAGGTTGGAGAGTGATTGAATTAGGTTGGTCAGTAATGGAGAGATAGAAGAAATTTAAAGGGACCAGGTACCTAACAGAGGAGTGAGCATCTCTCCAGGTGGGGAGAGCAGACCACATGGGCCCTCCAACACTGCACTACGCAGAAGGACACTGACCTTTATCTGTGGCACTGGAGAGCCATGGGAGGGCTGTGAGCAGGGAAGGGGCGAGGTCAGCGCTGGGACGTGGTGGGAAAGGACCCGAGAGGAAGAGACAAGAGTGGTATGAGTCAGACTTGACAAATGCGAGTCTTGAGGCCTTACTTTGTAATTGTCTCTGGATCTCCCTGGTTCTTGCGGCCGCTGGCCTTTACTGGTTTAGCCTTGTCTGTATCCGGCGGTGGGGTTCCCTCGGAGGGCTGGGGGTCTCACCCCCTTTCTCTCCCTACAGAAGGCCAGGGTTGTACCGCCTACGACGTAGCCGTCAACAGCGACTTCTACCGGAGGATGCAGGTTGGGGGCGGGGCTGCGGGTGAGGCCTGGGCCGGGGCCTCTCCCTCCACCCGGAGCCCTCCCGCAGCCTCCCTCTCTCACTCCTAGAACAGTGATTTCTTGCGCGAGCTCGTGGTCACCATCGCCAGGGAGGGCCTTGAGGACAAATACAGTCTGCAGCTGAATCCAGGTGAGGGGCGGGGCCTGGGCCGGCGGGAGCTAGGGGGGCGGGAGCAGCTGGGGGGCGGGGCTTGGGAAAGGTGGGGCTAGGGTAGGCGGGGATTTTCTTGGTCCCTAGGCTCTGGACGACTGGGAGAAGGGGAAACTTTCCAAGGTTGGGGATGGAGCCGAGGGTGGGGCTGGCCCAAGAACCAGTAAGGGGCGGGGTCTAGGTAGCCAGGGGGCGGAGCCAGGAGCATCTCCAGGGGACAGATTTTTTTTTTTTGAGAATACCCTGGGGGAAAAAAAAAGAAAAAAAAAAAACCCTGTGAAGGCCGGGGTGTGGCCAGGTCCCTGGCTGCCTCGGAGGGGCGGAGCCTTTCCCTGGAAGCTCTTGCTATGCCAGACCCCCTATGGAAGCGAACGAAGGGAACCCTTAACCAGTGCCACCTTTGACTTTGAGCTTCCTACCCGCAGAATGGCGCATGTTGAAGAACCGGCCTTTCTTGGGCTCCATCTCCCAGCAAAATATCCGGTCCCAGCAGCGTCCTCGGATCCAGGAGCTGGGAAACCTGTATACTCCTGACTCCCTGAGACCTGAGGAAGGGTGGGCCTTCCGTGGGTTCTCTCTCTCCTGTCTCTCTCCCTGTAGGAAGCAGTATCCTGGGGCTCTGGGGACCGGGAGAAGCAGGACTCCCACTGAGAAAGTCCCGCAAGGCAGCGGGGCTCATAGGAGGGGGAAATTTCGGGAAGGATTAGCCCCGGCAAGGACCTGGTGGGCTCTCCTCAACTTTGGGTCTTGTTCCTCCTCAGCCCTGAAAAGCCTCACCTGAACCTTTGGCTGGAAGCCCCTGACCTCCTCTTGGCTGAAATTGACCTCCCCAAACTGGTGAGTGTGTGCTTGGCCAGTGCTGGGGAATGAGATCTAGAAGGGTCTGGTGGTCTCTGAGGGGGAATGAGCGGGGCCCCCTGTCACACCTGTGCGAGACTGGTTAGCCCTGCCCCCTGAGCACAGCTGTCTGCCCCATGAGTCTTTCAGGCTGACTTCTGGAGCTGCCCTGAGGGTGCCTGGGACACTCTAAGTCCTCAGTCATAGGGACTTGTAATTCCTATCTCTCACCACCCTTCTCCTGGGAGATTGGATCCTTTATTTTTATTTTTTTTATTTTTTAAAGATTTTTAAAATTTATTTATTCATGAGAGACACACACAGAGAGAGAAAGGCAGAGGGAGAAACAGGCTCCATGCAGGGAGCCCGATGTGGGACTCAATCCCAGGTCTCCAGGATCATGCCTTGGGCCGAAGGCAGGCGCTAAACCGTTGAGCCACCCAGGGATCCCAGATTGGATCCTTTAAATATGGCATCCCAACACAGGAGTCTTTGGTACCTGGTCTGTATTATTTTTGTCCTGTTGCTGGGCAGGGAAGGGTGGGCTTATTTCACTATATTCCCAGGATGGAGCTCTGGGGCTGTCGCTGGAGATTGGGGAGAACCGCCTGGTGATGGGGGGCCCCCAGCAGCTTTACCATCTCGATGCCTATATTCCCCTGCGGATCAACTCTGAGGAGAGCAAGGCAGCCTTCCATAGGAAGAGGAAGGTACCTGGGGAGATAGGGGGAGGTGTGCAGGGAAGTGGGGGCACTGGGGAGGCCCAGACTCCTGAATCCTCCTTCTCTGTTTCTCCTGCCTCTCCTCAGCAATTGATGGTGGCCATGCCTCTTCTGTCGGTGCCTTCTTGACTGTGTTTCTTTCCGTGCTTCCACATGGAGAAGAGGCTGGCAGTGGCTTCTCTAAAGTTGAAATAAAAGATTTTTGCCTTTGTTCTGTGTCTGGCTAGGAATATGTGGGGAGTGGGAGGGAAGAGGGACATGGGACTGTGTCCTGGAGTCATAGAGAAATCACTGCCCCGGCTATGGCCTCAGCCTCTCCCCTCTAGATCCTCTCTCTGGCCTCCTGGCCTCCAGTCTCTCCCCTTGTGTCCCACACAGTCCCAGAGCTAATATCCCCTCTCCTCTTCAGGTCACCTCAGCCTAGCACCCAGGGCATGTTTGGTGTGGCCCTCTTTATGCCCTTTTTTTTTTAAAGATTTTTTTTTTTTAATTTGAGAAACAGCACAAGCAAGAGGAGGGGCAGAGGGAGAAGGAGAAGCCGACTCCCAGCTGAGCAGCGAATCCAATGCAGAGCTCTATCCCAGGACTCTGAAATCATGACCTGAGCTGTCAGACACCCCTATGCCTTATTTATTCCCACTCTTCTCACTCAGTCCCATCACACTGAAGGGTATCCTGACCACATTTGTGTTTTGCACCTTCTCTTAGTTTCTGCTGTTCCCTCTACTCAGTGTTGTCTCTTCCAGTGAAACCCAGGAAACGTCGAATTGTCTTGCCCTTTCCTGAGTCCGTTTGGTGATCTGATGCATGGCATCATCATCTCTACCCTCTCCTACCTCTCGTCCTGACAAGCTTCCCATTCCTGGGATGGTGCTTTCACATCACCATCACACAAACTGTGTCCCACTTCCTGACTCTGCAAGTACTGTGGACGCCCCCTCCCCTGCCTCCCAAGTCATCCCTTTCAGTGAGCTTTCTCTGATCTCCCCGGGCTGAGTTAGCATCCTACTCCATCAGTGTCTGGTATCCACTGTTACCTCATTGTATGTATGCCCCTGTGGTGTGATGTCGCTTTAGAGTTAGTAGGAACTCAGTGAATGTTGCATTAATCAATGATTGACAACTCTCTCCTTCCATAATGAGTACTGGGAGGATAGGTAAATGGAGGAGCCTCTGTGGTAAATATTGCAAGAACAGCGAGATCAGTGTGGTTAGAACGGACTGAATTGGGTAGGGAGGTAGGGGTAGATGGTGAGGAGGTGAAAAGGTAGGCTCAGATGGACCTGTGAAGGAGCGAAGTGGCGCCGTGTCCACCAGAGGGCGCCTTGCAGCCTCAGCCTGGTGTCTCAGAGAACTACAACTCCTAGCAGCCCTCGGTGAGCGCGGCTCTTCCGAAGCAAACGGTGAGGTCCAGTGGCCGCTGGGACTTGTAGTTCACACAGGGACCCTCCGTGGGAGGCCGAGAAACTCATTCCCAGGTCCCCAAAAAAGTATGAAGCTGGGTCCTTTCCGCCTTCTTCGGTCTCCATGGTGATGATTCCGACGAAGGCCCGGGATTTGGCAGCGGCCGAGGCTCCCCTCCTACTCCCTCCTCTTCACCATCTGCTCCACCACACCTGGCCCGGAGCCGCGGCCGCCGCCTCCGCACCCGCGCCGGGGACTCTGCCGCCACAGGGTGGCGCTCGTGGACGGCTCCGCGGGCTACTCCTCCCTCAGACCCAAGAGTCCGGGTCTCCAGTCCCTCCTGCCTCAGACCCTGGGGTCGCAGCCCCCAGCCACACCCTACCTGAGAATCCGGGGATTTCGCAAACGGGCAAAATTGCGAGACCCAGAGACACAAACGGGGACAAGGCGTGAAACGGGAGGCCGTGGTGGGCAGTGACTGCTGAGCCACTGGGTCCGTGGCGCCCGCCTGCCGCGCCGGCTGCTCCCTCCCAACCCCCTTGAGGGCTTATGCCACATCATGAAAATTTAATCCCAAATGCATTTGCGGCCCGACTCAGGGAGGTGGTGAGGAAAGCAGCGCACCCTCCTGGGGCTTGGATCTGGAGGGGAACTCAGCGCTGGGGAGCATGGCGGGCTGGGGTGGCGAAAGGAGCAGAGGCAGGACCTACCTGTCCGCCAGAACCCGAGAAATAGTCTGGGTTCAATCCCCAAGGGCAGGGCTGGCAGAGATGGAGTAAGAGGGCGGGGCCAGCCCCCAGCAGGAGGGGATACAACGGGGGCGGGGGCAGGGAAAGAACCTGGGGGGCGGTGGAGACTGAACTCGGACAGATTCCAGGGGAAGGGGGCAAAAATTAGGGCAGGGACAGATCCCAAGGGAGGGGTGAGAACTCAAGGGGCAGGAAGAGTACTCGGGAGAGAGGGACAAACCCCAAAGGGCCATACAGATTCCAGGGTGGTTGGGAATTATGGGGCTCGCTACTGGGGTCGGGTGTGGAACTATCAGGGCTGGAACTTAGAGGGGAAAGAAATCCAGGACGAAGGAACCGGGGAGGGGGGGCACGCACCCCGAGGAGAAATAGAACTGGAAGGGGATAGAATTTTAAAAAGATGGAAACAGGTGAATGAAGTCAAGAGGGAAGAAACCGGATGAGGGAAGAACTAGAAGGGACGATGGGTGGATCGAAATGCGGGTCGGATTTCGGGGGGAGAGGGAAAGAATCCCCTGAATGAGAAAAGCACCCTCTGGATGAGGAAGTTGGAACTGAGGATGGTGCGGGATGGATGGGGATGGAAATCGGGGGGGCGGGATGTGGAACTGGAGGGCACAGAAAATCGCAGGGGTAGGGCTGGGAGGATGAAAACGCAGGAGATGGAACCGTAGGGGACGAGAACGCAAGGACGAAATTAGGGCGAACTAAAAAGGAGAGGGAAACCTCAGGTGGACAAGAGAGCTCGGGAGGAGAGAAAAGGGATAGAAGGAGCTGGGGGGTGGGGATGGAGGACGGGGGTAGTAACTCCGGGAAGGGAGAGAATTGGGGCGATGCAACTCACGGGAGCGAGTTCAGAGCCCAGAGGCGTGGCCTTGGAATGGAAGGGCGGGGACAGAGCGGAGCTGAGGGCTGCGAGGGGCGGGGCCAGAACCATATGGGCGTGGTCTGTCACGGGTGGGCGGGGCCTAGCAGCCGCCCGCCCCGCCCCCGACGCTGAGTCCCGCTACAGCCCCTAGGCAGCCAGCACACGCAGCCTCCTTCCCCCCCGAGCGGAGCTGCGGGGCCGGCCGGGCCGGGGCGGACCCCGGGAACCCGGACGCGGCCGCCCGGGCCCGCGGGCGGGGGGATTGGCAGGGGGACCGGCGGCAGGGGCAGCCACCATGGAGTTCCGTCAGGAGGAGTTTCGGAAGCTAGCGGGTCGTGCCCTCGGGAGGCTGCACCGGTGAGCGTGGTGAGGGTCCTGGGCGGGGAAGAGCCCGAGTGTCCGACGAGGGCACACATTCCCACCTGAGCCTAGACGGACAGATGGACAGGCTATACTCGTGGATGGGGGTTCCACCCATCTGTCCGGTTTTCTCCCTTCTTTTCCTCCCGTACCCTCTCCCTGGTCCGGTCTCATCCATCATCTCGTTCATTTTTCTGCCCCACCCCATCCCAGACTCTTTCCTTTTTTCCCTTGGACCGCTTATCTCCTTCTCTTTGGGTCTCTAACCCCCTTCCCCACTTTTGGGTCTCTTCTCTTCACTTCTCTTCACTCTGCCTCTTTTTGTCGGACCTCTGCCCCCTCTGTGGGTCTCTGACCCTCCCCCCCTTTCGGATGTCTGTTGCCCTCGCTCTGGGTTTTTATCCCCCACCCTGGGTGTCTCCATCTTCCTGTGTCTTCTCAGTTTCCACCTCTCAGAGAGTTTAATCTGAAGCTAAAGCGGATTGGGGCCCATTGGTCCTTGTCCTTGAGGAGAGCTAAGCTGGGAGGGGAAGCAGGGTATCCTGGGTCTCTGGAGGAGAAAGAAGTTGCAGGCCAGAAATTAGGCTCCTGGGGTATGGCAGATTTTCCAGAGGATATAGGTTAGAGAGAAGAAGGACTTCCTTTCATCCAGGGAGATGACCCCAGTGACCTGGGTGTCTCCAGGGCAGTCTGAACACCTCCCCACCCCAGCCTCTCACCCCCAACCCCATCCCTGGCTCCAAGTCAGAGAAATTACTCAGCTGCGGAGAAGCCTAAAAATATCTGGCCACAGTGCAGGGAGGAGATGGCCCCATCAGCACCATGCCCCTGCTGCCATTCCCTTGGACCCTGTCCCCTTGGCCCCGACCTCATCTTTAGTTGACCCTTTGTCCATCTCCCTAGACCATGCAAGTCCTCTGAGACAAACACTAGTCCTGCTCACTGCAGGTCACCTCCTAGCTCCATAGGTCTCCCACCCTCTAGGAACTGGAGGGATGGGAGTAAGCTGGACAGAAGGGAGGGGGCAGGAGGATGATGCAGTGGGGAGGGGAGAGTGGAGATAACCTTACCCCTTCTCTTCCTAATCTTCCAGCCCCTCCCCACCCTTTTTCTCGCCTCCTTTCACGAGTTTCTCAAAATACATCAGTGCGAAGTCAGGAGAGGGAGAGAGACGTGCTGATGGAGGGGGCTGGAAGGAGGGTGGTGGCAGGAGGGATGTGTGCCTCAGGCCCCCTCCCTCAGTCCCTGCTTCTCAGTTTCTCATCTGTGTCTGGGTTTCTCTCCTCTGTGCCTTCACCTCTCGAGCTGCCTCCTGAGCCCCTGGAGACCCCAGAGCTCAGAGCTCCCACCAGGCCATGCACCAAAGAGCTGGAGTTTGAGAAGAACACTGCGTCTGAACCTTGCAGTTCACTCTGATAGTTGGACAGAGACAGGAATGCCCCGTGTTGGACATAGCGCCCTGATTCCATTGAATCCTTTAGACAAAGCTGGGGAAACTGAGGCTCAGTTTGAGAAGAGGGAGAAATCCATGGATAAATACAAGTGCCATCATCTTTTGAGGCTGGTTTCCTCAAGATACAGGATCCCAGAGTGGGTGGGGAACTCTCTCAGCCCAGGAAACAGATGTTAACCCAGAGCCACCTGTGATCAGGACCTGGGAGGAAGGGGGATGCAGGAGAGACAGGAGCCAATGTGCCTCCTTTCAGAGAGCCAGGCCTTGGATGGGGCAATACTGGGGGCCAGGAAACCATCAGGATCCACTACGACTTTGGAGTGTGACCTTGGACATGCTACTCCTGCTTTCTGAACCTCAGTTTTTCCTTAGGTGT